AGGTATAATGATGATTTTGAACGTATGTAATGGTACAGTGACAATTTTGAAAAATAGGCGTCACCATATGTCATGCTATGGTAACGGTTTTTGGACTAAATACAATTTTCTTATACGTCATATGTAACGGTTTTAGCCTTACGGTAATGGCTTTTGTTGTATTTTTGTAACGTCTTTTAAACGCAACCAAAAGGAAGAAAAAGCTCAAACTAATCCTTGGTGAAGTATGTTGTTGTGGTTGTAGTTGTGCATATGGAATGGTTTATGTAACCAACTCATATACAGAGAGGTAGATCATAGTTGGTGATATGTCATGTAGAGGAAAAGTAATATCACATGGTTTTGTCTTCCAACCTTGTTGTGATATCATTCAACGATTAATTTGATGGATAAGCTCAATCCATTAGGGACCATGGTGTTGGGAAGAACCTGTAACATATTGGAAGACAAAACCATGTGATGTTTCTTTTTCTCTACAACCACACGTCACCATCTCTCATCTACCTCTCCTTAAATCAATTCGTTATATAAACCATTCCATATGTAGAATACAACCACAACTCCCTCTAAAATCCATCACAACATATCTCACCAATATTTAGTTTGAGCATTTTTCTTCCTTCATCGGCCTTTAGAACGCAACAAACTCTGCCCACTTTGGGAAAATGGCTATTTTTATGCCTCGGATCATTCAAGCAAAACAGATTCTCCGACGATCATTGTCAAATGGAAGCAGCAATATATACATGGCCATCCCAAAAGGTTATTTTGTCGTTTATGTTGGGGAGCAAGAGAAGAAGAGATTTGTGGTTCCAATAGCATTGTTAGGCCAACCTGCATTTCAAGAATTATTATGTCAGGCGGAGGAAGAGTTTGGGTACAACCATCTCAGGGGCGGCCTCACAATTCCATGCAGCGAAGACATGTTCATTGATCTTGCTTCTCGTTTGGGGGCATTATGACTTCCATATGGCAGTTTGAAATTTCTACCACGGTTTTGTAAAGAACTAACCAGTAGGAACTTTTGGAGTTTGTAAGACTTGTGGAGACATTTCTCCCAGATTTATGAAATTTGATTTTGGAATTATTTATTCTGTTTGTGTTATGAGTTAAGACATAAATGGCAAACGGATTTCATAGTTTACTAAATTTGGGCCGAGTTCTTTTCACTGAATGAGGAACGCCCTTAGACAAATAAAGGCGTTTCATATATTACCACTCGAACATCCCTAAGCTACCGCGACAGCAAATTCAATGAATTAAACAATTGGCTATACGAGATCAGACCATAAACACTAGGTGTCGAATAAAGAATCGCTACTCATGATAGGTTTTTTTCTTTATATTCATGTCTACCATTGAAGTAAATTTGACACGAGAAAAGTTACAAATTTCTGAGCTTTAATAATGAGCAGCAGAGAAATATTTATATTCTAATTCTCGATGCCAAAGCAATTCCCTTATCTACAACTATTTGCATACGAACTAGAAATTTTATACTATGCTAAACTGAACTTATCATTGAAAATATGTTGGTAGAATTTTGCATATTTTGAGATCATTGAAGGAGTTTTACTTGTTTAATTCATTTAAAATTTTCATATGCATTGATCTTTTCCACTGTAACATTGGTTACGCTAATTCTTAATAAAAGAAACTATTTACCCAAAAGATTTTTCCATAAAACAATCTCCAAGCAAATACGGGATATATGTTATAGATTTCCACCAAAATATAATAACATAGCCTGCAACCGATGATTTTCGGTACTATAAATCGGGTCCAAAAGCACAGATATATCTACCCAAAAGTATTACATACATAGGTACAACTCAAAACGATATATGCATAACAAGTACCAAAAGATATCTAGGATCTGGAATCCCACAAGCAGATCTAAACTGCTTTATCTTTCCCTTAGCTACCGACTTTCCTGAAAGAAAATTATTCTAAAAAAAATAAGCGACAAGGCTTAATGAGATTATACCAAAGCTTATAATTATATATATTTTATAAAAAAACAAATATTAGACCGTTAGCTCCAAGAATCTACCAGAACTTCGTCCAGAGCGCAGTACAACCAGAGGCTCTGGTCGTCCAGAGGGGCTCTGGTCCCGAAGGACTTGGAGTCCAGAGCGCAGTACAACCAAAGGCTCTGGTCTATACAACCAGAGGGCCTCTGGTCCCGAAGGACTTAGAGTCCATAGCACAATACAACCAGAGACTCTGATCTATACAACCAGAGGCTCTGGTCGTCCATAGGGCCTCTGGTCCCAAAGGACTTGGAGTCCATAGCACAATACAACCAGAGGCTCTGGTCGTCCAGAGGGCCTCTGGTCCCAAAGGACTTCCAAACTTGGCCATTTAATCACAGCATAAAAACTTTGAATCTTCCATCCTTAACATACAGTGCTTATTAAGACTTTTTAGGATAATTAAGATCAATTACAGCACTAAAATGTATCCAACACCAAAGGTATCACTACCAAAATAGAGTATACATGTGCACCACACCCCTCTTCGTCTACCGGGCCCGTGCAAAGTATTCACACCCGGCTCCCTACCAATCGGGATACGTGAATACAACAATCAGTATGGCACACCCAACCTCCCTCTCCTTGGGATACGTGGACATACACCATGCTACGGCTTATCACACGAAGAAATACCCGTAGATCATGGTTTATCAAAAAGCCAAATAAACAGTCTCGGATCTGGACTCAACCACAACGTAAAAGGATTAAGAGATACCAAAACACAGTTAGGGAAAATTCACCTTACAAAATAACACATGCAAAATCATCAACTTTTCAGTAAGGATTCATATACATATACTACATATAAGTATAAGTTCGGTATAAACTCACTGTGCTTTATTAAAAACAACCGAACGCTGTAACATCCAGTTCCAACCAACAATAGCATTAAACCTTCAGAGGCTCTAAATAGCCTTAAAACAGCCCCTGGAGTAAACATTTCAAGTATCAATAACCAACTATATCTCAACCTCAAGTTATACACTTTAGATCTTGATTATCCCATTTACACTTTCTTGTACAGCCCTCTGTTCAGCCCCTGTTTTACCATACTTAGATTCAGATTTAGCAATTAACCTGAAAATACTAAATAAAGTATCCTCTTAAAGCTTTATAACTCACTGCATGTTGCAGATTTTACCCAATTTAGCTTTATATTCACACATTAATCAATATTATCTTTTATAAACTTTCAAATGCAGATCCTAGCCTCTAAATAACACTTCTACTTGGAATAAACTCGTAATTAGAAGCATACCTTTGATAATTAGCACATAATCTTCAAGAATCTAACATGGATCTTCGAGGATTGAAGGATTAGTCTTATGTGTGTGTAAATCGCACCTTGAGTGTGTGAGAGTTCTAGAGGTGAGAAAATATGACTGATTTAGAGAGCTAGGCATGGTTTTGACCTGTTTTGGTCAACAAGTCAACCTAGTTTGCCATAGTTGACAGTTTTAGTCCCTCATGCGTAACTTGATCGTTTCAACTCCGTTTCGCACGAAACTTTCCAGATCTCATAATTGATATATAAGAGGCTTAAATCTAAAATTCCAGCCTCTAACTCGATCCAGAAGTCCATATTCCATTCTAACTTAAGTAAGTACTAATCCATAAAATACTATACTAATTTAATTAAACATGCTTAGCAACTTAAATGGGCTTTTAGTAAGTTGGATGTTACATCCACATTGCGAAAGTATATTAACTGATTTTTCATATTTGCATAAACTTATCAATTAAACAATTGGCTTTGCTAGATGGGACCATTAACACTATGTGTCGAATAAAGACTCGCAACTCATGATAGATTTCGTTTATTATATTCATGTCGACCATCAAAGTATATGTGCCACGAGAACAATTACAAAAATTTTTCTGAGCTTTAGGAGCAGCAGAGAAATATTTCTATTCTGGTTTGGTAAGCCAAGAGCACCTGTCTCTACATCTTTTAGCATGTGAATTAGATATTTTAACACCATTAAACTGAACTTCTTATCACTAGAAAATATGTTGGTAGCAATCTGCATATGATGAGATCATTGCAGGAGCTCCACTTGAAATTTGTCATATTCATTGATCTCTCGATGCAGCAAAAACGTATTCACTGATTTTTCATATTTGCATAAACTTGTCAATTATGCAAGACATTCCTCATTCCAATTCTTTTATCAAGCCTCTTTCGTTCTAACGGTATCTGGTCAAGCTCCACAAGTTGGCTCCATAATATTTTCACCTCAATTCATTAACCAAAATGTCTTCTATGTTTTTTTTCTAGCTCAAGTGTTTTCAGTATTCTGTCTGTGAGTGGTTTTGCAAATCTCTACTAGGTACCATTCCTTTTATTCATGGCACCTATGTATCTCAAGACACATTGAAAAGGAAAAATGAATTAGGCTTATGTCCCTCTACCAATCTCTACATAGTGGTTTGCTCATCATTCCACGTAATTATATCAATATGCCTGACACATCTTTGTGTTGCCTATTATTAAGACAACCCGAGAGATTTTTATGATTTTTTTTCTGTTTTTCAAGAAGCATAACCACATTACATTTAAAGTACCTGGGACCATGGATTTCATGTCATTCTTGACCTCATTCTTAGTTTAGAATTGTGGCCATAAAAGTCATCCTCTATGTCTAACCCTTCATGTATCCTATACTCCAAATGCATATTTCAGGGATAATTAAAATATCCTCGGGTTGACCAGAAATGTTGTTCTTTCATGCAAGTTGAAAGACACAACCACATGATATTTTGCAATTTTGTCTCAATGTCTCCATCTGCCATTTAATGTCCCTTTTATCACCAATCGTACATTTGAAGCTTCAATAAATCAAATATGTAAAGCATACAAYAGGCAAAGCACCAAAATAACTCCATCTCTAAACCCACTGCAACATCTTTCACTAAGAAAAAATACATTCAGATTATTTTATCTCTTTTATCAACATTTGGTAAATGGCTATTCGTATGCCTCGGATCATTCAAGAAAATCAAGTTCTCCGACGAACTTTGTCGAATGGAACCCGTACACCAACAACTACGGAGGTACCAAAAGGGTATTTCAAAGTTTATCTCGGAGAGAAGCAAGAAAAGAAGAGATTTGTGATCCATGTATCTTTGTTAAGCCAACCATCATTTCAAGACATACTACGTCAAGCAGAGGAAGAATTTGGTTATGACCATCCAATGGATGGGCTCACAATCACATGTAGTGAAGACATGTTTGTAGATCTGGCTTGTCGGCTTGGTGTATTTGACCTCGCTTGTCGCATCAGCACACAATCCCGTGTAGTAAAAACAAGTTTTTTTGTGAAAACTGATCAATGACCATATAAATACAACTTGTGAGACAAAGTCGCTTGTCCCGGTTGTGTGAAATTGGAACTAGGAGTTATTTCAAACATCTTGTACAAAAAGGAAGTTCAGGACCTCCCTTTTCTATGTAGCTCGATTTCACAAATGACTATCACAATGACCATGAAATTTATTTATGCTCTGTGTAGAACAAATTATATGATCTATGTCAAATGRAACCCACATTCAATAATTATGGATATACCAAAGTGTTGAGCATTTCCATGCATCAAGTGACAACTAATCACTCTTCAGAAGAACTTCTATAGATTTATATCTTATAATACATTAATGTGGTTATCTCATTTTGCCAACAACCTGACAACTTTAATTATCAACTTCTGAGATAAAAATTACTATTCTATCTGCCAAAAAATGCTAAATATTTATTACTTTTCTAAGACGAGAGGTCAATAAGTATAATGAAGAATTAAACATAATATATTAAAGTCGACCTTCTTTTCATTACTTCTTGAAATTCCCATTTAAGATTTGTTGCATAAGTTGCATAGATTTCAGTATAGGTCTCGTATCTTTTTATTTACAAGAGTTTTTCTTTTTTGTAATTACTAAAACGATGGCCGAAGAAATTTATACATTATATGTCTTGTCAAGTCTACGAGTGCTCTAAACAGGGCATAATCACATCTTGTACCACATCATCCTATCTTCCTATCTGGATGGGAGAAGATTCGTCCCGGACCATCCTCCGAGGAGTTAGCACGGTTGTATGCGAGAAGGTATCTGGCATTAAAAACTTCCGAGGTGTTGTGAATGGTGCTAGGGAGTTGGAGGCGGTAAGTATTTGGGTCCTTCTCAATTATCTCCATACGGGGCCTATTTTTTGAGCCCGAGTTCATTGTATTTGTGTGCTGGAAACCCATCCTTAGTGTCGCAAGTGCCCTAAGCATGTTTTGGGATAACCTGTTATTAATATTGCCAATTTTACAATATCTTTAACAAATTTTTCTTGTGGTACCCTTGCTTTTAACCGAACTAGCATATAGAACCTATAAATGAGAACATAATGCAGTATTGCATGTCATATCCATATTTCTTCTCAAGGAGACTTGATCCAAAACATATACAACACCGAATGTGTTGCATTTTTCTCCTTTAATGGTACTTGGTAGAACATCGAAGAATGGTGTCTTATTATCTTAGTATTTTTCTTGTATGCATTTAAACTGATAAACGTATTTTCACTATATATATATATATATATATATGATACCTACATTTCACACAAACGAGAGTCTAAGTGGAACTTTTACAATTCAAACATTTAATTTACTGTTAAACTGAACTCCAAAATCTACTTGAAATTATATAACCAATAGATTTGTTGACTATAAATGTCATAACATTATTGTGATATCATTCAGTGATTAATTTGATGGATAAGTTTCATCCATGAGGGACAATGGTGTTGGATTGGAAGACAAAACCATGTGATGCTGCTTTTTCTCTACAACCACACATCACCATCTCTCATCTACCTCTCCTTCAATCAATTGGTTATATAAACCATTGCTATACAGAATACAACCACAACTCCCTCTCAAATCCAGCACAACATATCTCACCGATATTTAAGTTGAGCATTTTCTTCCATCATCGGCCTTTACAACGCAGCAGACCCTGCCCTCCTTGGAAAAATGGCTATTCTTATGCCTCGGATCATTCAAGCAAAACAGATTCTCCGACGATCATTGTCAAATGGAAGCAGCAATACATACATGGCCATCCCAAAAGGTTATTTTGCCGTTTATGTTGGGGAGCAAGAGAAGAAGAGATTTGTGGTTCCAATTTCATTGTTAAGCCAACCTGCATTTCAAGAATTATTATGTCAGGCAGAGGAAGAGTTTGGTTACAACCATCCAATGGGCGGCCTCACAATTCCATGCAAAGAAGACATATTCACTGATCTTGCTTCTCGTTTGGGGGTATTATGACTTCCACATGGCAGTTTTAAATTTCTACCAAGGTTTTGTAAAGAACTAACCTCTAGGACCTTTTGGAGTTTGTAAGACTTGTGGAGACATTTCTCCCAGATTTATGAAATTTGATTTAGGAATTATTTATTTCCTTTGTATTATGAGCTAAGTTAAATGAAAAACCGATTTCACAGTCTACTAAATTTGTGCTTAGATCTTTTCTCCCGATGGTGAATTCCCTTAGACAGATAAAAACATCTCTTATATCACCATAGTAGATACAATGAATTAAACAATTGGCTTTACGAGATCGGACCATAACACTAAGTGTCGAATAAAGACTTGCAACTCATGATAGGTTTTTTTTTTTTTATATTCATGTCTACCATTGAAGTAAATGTGCCACGAGAAAAGTTACAAATGGTTTTTTGAGCTTTAACGAGAATGAGCAGCAGAGAAATATTTATATTATGATTCTGGATGCTAAAGGAGTTCTCGTATCCACAGCTATTTGCATGTGAACTAAAAAATTTATACTATAGAGAACTGAACTTATCACTGAAAAATATGTTGGTATAGTAGCAGTTCGCATATGATGAGATCATTATAGGAGTTCCACTTGTCTAAATTGATTTAAAATTGTCATATTTATTGATCTTTTGTATCCCATGACTAATTTAAGAAGAAAATTAAATGCAGTAGTAAGACAACTTCAATAGGTCTAGGTTAATAAGTAGTTGGCCATACTCTCTTTAATTTACCAATAAAACCTTTGGCCATAAACTTCAATTATACAAAACAATGTGATTATGCATTCATAGTGGCTTGCACATCATTCCCATATATATATATATATATATATATATATGTGTGTGTGTGTGTGTGTGTTATATAAGAAAACCCCAGAGATTTTAGCCTGAATTTTATGTTCGTTAGGATACTTAGCCACATTTCATTTAAAGTAAATGGGGCCATGGTGTTGATACTATTCTTGACCCCTTACTTTTTTCATAATTTTGGACATATAAGTTTTCTCTATTTTTGTAATCCTATCTTGATTTATATAGAGATTTCCATGATATATCAAAGTCCTCGAGTCTACAAAGTTATCTTTGCAATTCGTATGTTATTTTAAGTTGAAATTAGACCTTAAAAATTCCAGCCAAAGCACTTCTTTGATCGAGCAACCAAAATATATAAAATTGTTATACAAAAGCCATCATAAATCAAACCCTTATTCTAAATCAAAAAATTTGAAAAACAAATCGAGTATGTTGTACAGATTGATGAAAGATGATAATAGGAACATCTCGAGATTGACTTTTCTGATTGGTTAGAGCTTCTTGATCTTTACTTAACGGGCGAGAGATTCGGTTGAGATGGTGGAGATGTAGCAGGAGGGATGGAGAAAGGGAGAGCGGTTTACGAGGAGGAAATAGGTGTAGAGGGCGGCAATGTAAGCTAGAGATCCACCGTTTTGAGAACCTATGGGCTTCACTTTTCATGGGGGAGAAGAGATTACCATCGTTGTTGAGAACCTACGGGGTTCACTTTTCATGGGGTTTCGTGGGGGAGAAGAGATTACCATCTTTGTTGAGAAAGGAGGTGGTGGCGAGAAAGGAGGCGGCAATTTCTTGACCCCTTCGTTTTTTTCATAATTGTAGTTTATGGTTTTTAGTTTATTCAGATATAAGAATTGGATTGTATTGTGTCATTTATGTCYTAGCTCATAACACAATCGTCATATGTAATTCCTAAATCAAATTTCATAAAACTGGGACAATTGTCTCCACAAGTCTTACAAACTTTTAAAGGTCCTATTGTTCGTACTTTACAAAACCAACTAGAAATTTAAAACTACCATGTACAAGTCATAATGCCCCCAAACGATAAGCAAGATCAGTGAATATGTCTTCGCTACATGGAATGGTGAGGCCACCCATTGGATGGTTGTACCCAAATTCTTCCTCTCTTTGATATAATAATTCTTGAAATGCAGGTTGGCTTAACAATGATACTGGAACCACAAATCTCTTTTTCTCTTGTTCCCCAACATAAACAGCAAAATAACCTTTAGGGACGGCCATGTATGTATTGCTGCTTCCATTTGATAATGATCGTCGGAGAATTTGTTTTGCTTGAATGATACGAGGCATAAGAACGGCCATTTTTCTAAGGAACGGACAGTCTGCTTTGTTCTAAAGGCTGATGAAGGAAGAAAAAGCTCAAAGCAAGCCTTGGTGAAGTATGTTGTTGTGGTTGTGGTTATGCATATAAAATGGTTTATATAACCAACTCATATACGGAGAGGTAGATCAGAGCTGGTGATGTGTGGTGTAGAGAAAAAGCAATATCACGTGGTTTTGTCTTCCAACCTGTAAAACAAAGAAGGATGAATTAAAAAGAATTCTCTTTAAATTAAAAGAAATATAGTTATGGCTCTACCCAACACCATGGTCCCATGCATGAGGCTTAAATCCATCAATCTTTGATTGGTATCTACAAATGACCAGTTAGCCATATATCCCTCCACCAATCAAACCTCTAGCTAATTTGACCAAAATCGTCAAGACAAAATACATGTGATCTTGGTGTCATCTTGACCTCTCTCTTTGTTCATCATTCTGGCCATACAAGTTCTCCTCTATGTCCAATCCTGTCATGTATCCTAGACTCCTAGTGTAGATTTATGTCATAGTTAAGATCTTCGGTGGTCTTATTATTGACATGAAATGTTGTTATCTCATGCAAGTTGGAAGACACAATCACATGATATTGCAATTCTGTCTCCGTCCCTCCATCTGCCATTTAATTTCCCATTTATCGCCAATCCTACATTTGAAGTTTTAATAAATCAATATATATATATATATATATTATATATATATATATAAAGGCAAATCACCAACATAACTCCATCTCTAAACCCTTTATTGCATCTTCCACCAAGAAAAAAAAATACTCTTCCGTACACCAACTATGGATGTACCAAAAGGGTATTAATCAGCCAGAAACCTCAAATGTACTACCAAAAGT